GTTTGAAAATTTTTAGTTGTTTGTTTTACATCGAATAAGCGTTAATTATTATTTTCCAGACATAAAGCAAAACTTCTTTTCTATTTCGCCTCTTCCCTTTTTTTCCACTCCCCACTATTCCGTTCCTTCGTTCATCTCCTTCTGACGTATTAAACTTCGCAACAGTCTGACATACCGTCCAAATATTAACCGGGTTATTGCAGAAAAACAAAAGAAACTGGCAAGTCGATTACCAGCGGCGCCACTCGGCACTGGTCATCTGGATTAAAACAAAAAAAAAAAAAAAATTTTTTTTTTTTTTGGTTTTTTGGAAACCCACAAAATCTAACCGACGAACATCAGTCGAAACCCGAGATTCGTCCGGAATCGGTTTGCTGAATTTTTATCTGCCATTGACAAATATGGATCACTTAATTTTCTGTGAATTTTCTACGATTTATTAAATGTGCATATTTTTCCTGTCCCTCTGCACATCTTAACAACCAAAACTTTTGCCATTTTAAATTTTTCTATTTTGTTAACGTTTACCTGTACAATAACGATGGTAGTTTAATCGTACGGCTTAGACAAGCGAATAACACAAATTATTGTTTCTTTTTTGATTAATAATCTTGCTTCAGTTGTCTTTTTTTTTCAATTTATTTAACCTTTTTTTGTTGTTATTAATAGTCTTAATAAGCGATAAATTATTTACCTTTAAAAACTATCTTCAAAAAAATAGATAGGTATGACGTTTATGATAAGATTTCTTTTTTTACTGTTTTTCATAATCGTATACACCTACTTTCAACAATAATTTTCTGCTATCTAATTAACAGTTCTAAGTTAGTTTTCAATTACAAATTCATTCATAGATTAACTCTATATTTATAGTAGAAATACTTTAAAATGTTTTCAATATGAAGGTTTTTCTTAGTAATACCAACAAAAAACCTGCCTACATTGAAATCCAATTTTTGTAACGTATATTTACGACGAGGATAATCATCTACTGCCTAAAGAGTCGTCTTAAAATGTGCGTTGCTAGCAAATACAAGAAGAAAATGCTTAGAAAGAAGCTCCAAGTTAAAGAGTTCAATGAGAAAACTTAAAGAAACTGTTTGCTTACATAAACTTTTGCACTCAGTTATGCAGTTTTTCAAAAAATCCGTCCGTTGTTTTTTTTTTTTTTTTTTTTTTG